TTTACATGATAGATCTTGGTTCTTATTTTTTTCCCATTCCCCTTCCGTCTCTTCAACCCTTTCTCCCCTCCCCTCCCTATTTACAAAGACTTGGTTTCCATTTTTTCCTTTTCTCATACTTTTTCTTTTCCCTTACTTCCTTTCTCCTGCCTTTCCCACTTTCCCTTCCCTGTGGACCTTTGCTTCGTATTTCACATTTTAAAATGGAGTACTACTCAACCACAAAGAATGAGAAACTAAAGACATTTATAGCTAAGTGGATGCACATTGAGGCCATACTCTTAAGTGAAATAAATAGGACACACATGCAAATGCCAAATAGTTTCTCTTGTGTGAGAAATTGTCTTTCTTTTTATTATCAATTCTAAAAATGGTACTTGCTCACGGGAGACGAAGTGATGTTTCATTGCATCTATAAAAGAGGCAGTGTTCAAATCAAGGAAGCATATCTGTCTCCTCCAACATTGATCATTTCTTTGTGATGAAAGCATTTGATATCACTTTTCCCAGCTCTTTTGGAATATACAGAGCATCATCATTATTGATTGAAGTGTGCATTAGAAAACCAGAATTTAACCTAAGGGTTTAGCTCGGTGGTTCCGCCACCTGCCTCGCAAGCACAAAGTCTCAAGTTCAATCCCTGGTACCAAAACAAAACAAAACCAAAACTTTTTTCTCCAATCTAACTGTAGCTTAGTGTCTGTCTCCTTCCCTCTGTCTTCCCTACTCTCTGTGGCCTCTGGTAGAGACCATTCCACTCCCAATTTGCATGACATCAACTTTTCTATATCCCACACATGAGTAAGTGTGTGCCATATCTGTCTTTGTGTGCATGGCTTATTTCACTTATCATCATAATGCCTTCTGGGTCCAAACTTGTCATTCTTTTCCCCTCTGTGTGCTACTGGGTATTGAATCCAATGCGTTTGTACTGAGATACATCCTTGCCTTTTTTTTTTTTTTTTTTTAACTTTGAGACAGGTTCTCCCCAAGTGGCAGAATTGCCCAGACCTGGCTCAAATTTGGGATCCTTCTGCCTCAGGCTCCCAAATTACAGGGACTAATGGTTTATCACAGTATGCCTGGCTTATGATGTCACATTTTGATATGGACATTTTAGCACACTTAACATTTAAAAAAAAGAATGCCCCTCCCTTCCTCATTTCTGTACCTTTGCCCATTCACAACCTGACTCCTTCTATAGCTTTCCTTATAACAGCCCACAAACTCTAGACCATCTGGTTCAAACGTGACCTTCTCCAGCAAATGCAGGAGTAGAAAGGAAACACTGGCATCGGGTCGTGGGGTCTCCGAATGACCACACTGTTTATTTAGGTCTCAGCGACCCTTGACTGTCCACACTTGAGTCTGTACTTGTTGGTCCTCAGGGTAAGTCACAGTGCGTGACCCCACTGTCCTCCACAAGGCCGTACTTAAAAACGCTATGAGTCACACGCTTCTCTTTTCCTACCCAACACAGTGTCTTATCCACAATGAGCTTTCAACTTGTGTAGTTTCCTTTTATGTTTTTCTTTCTGCCAGAACTTCAAGGAAGATATGGGAATCATCTGCAGTGCTTATGAGATTTTTGCATTCTTTCAGCGTGGGGCCGCAGATGGTCTTCCTTTTAGCAATTTAAATTTTGCAGGAGAACCTCAAACTGGCATGAAGTTCCACAAATGAATCGAGATAAACTCCTCACTAATGAAAGAACTTTCTGACCCCTTAATACTTTTTTCGTGCTCTAATCTTTAAGTAGTGTGACTGGCAATAATTCTCTTTTTCTAGGTAGGTAGAATATGTGGGTGTCCTCTAATATAAAATCACTATGTTTCAAATATCATTAGTTTGCTGTTTCATGGGAAGAATGGCTCTGTCCTTAGAGCAGATGTAAGTATGTGGTCTTTTCAAGGGAATAAAAGGCAAATATTTATACTATTTGTGCATGATTTTTATTTTTGGTAGGTTGTATATGTTGTAGTTAAATGGAAGTTAAGCTTCACACCAGTTATTTTTCACAACCCCTTGAGTTGCTGGAAAATAAATCAGAAAAGGCCTTAGTCACTGGGCCTACTCACCCCTGCATAGATGTGGATCTTCCCAAATGTAGATTGATCTCTTTGTTGGCATTTGATTAAGAGATTTTAGAATGATTGTAGTTTTCTTAGTTTGTGTTCACTGTTTGTCTTTTTAAAGTTTTTTTTTTCAGTGCTCCAAGTTAGATGAGCATGACTTTTCCCTATTGCTTTCTGATATTTTAAGCTGCAATTTGTCCATTTTAAAATTGAGTCAAGAGACACCATCTGCAAAAACCTTTCATGCATGCCCGAGTTGTCTTTGAACACGTTCCTTCAGTGGAGCTCCTTTTCATTTCTTAGCGTTGCCCGGTCCAGACCTAGCCACCAGACAAGATATTAGTTGCTAATTTGGATCCCTGGCAGATGACTTTTCTTTCTAAGCTCCTGGACTGGCTGCCTTCCACCCTTGTCTTTCCCTACAAGCATGAGGCAATTTTCCGCTCAGTGCTGTCTTTCTGCACTTTACTGTCCTTCCAACTGGATCCTGGCCAATGCTAACATGTTCTCCACTTCTCAGGAAGAGAAAGAACTCAGCAACCATTTGTCAGTGCGACTGAGTTGCTTTGTGGCAGATTTTAGCAAGTAAGAGTATAAGAGAGAAGCAATTGAGTATGTCAAACACAAAGTGTGCATGTGCATGGAAATACCGAGCTGGATCCTGGTTAGCATATGTGTCACCACTTACGGGCAAACACGTATGAATATTTCTCTCCTCAACTTTTTCGGAAAGGATGGTGACTGTCCAAGCAAAGCAAGTAACACATATGTGGAGTTAGTGTCGCTTACAAATATATCACTGGTTTCCTCCCTTTTTGTATCCCACCCCTCAGCAAATGGATGTACATATGTGAGGCTGAAAATGTTGGTATTCTTTATATGACTATAATTTATCACCAAAACAGAAGCTGCAGAGATTGAAAAGGGGCAGCATGAATAATTAGCAGCACAGCAAGAAAAAAAGAGTATGTGTCTCAGCAAACCAGTTACCCTAACTATGCCCTAACTAGGTTCCCTGAGACCAAATGTCACAGATATTCCAGCTAAAGTAGCTAATGAAACTTCATGGAGAAGAAAAGCTGCAAATTGCACTTGTAATGACTTTATCTCCATGGGGTCGCCTGCTCTGCTACTTGGAATAATTTTTTTTTTTTCTATGCGATCTTCACATCAGTTCGTCGAACCCAACTTCAACCCATGGAAAAATGCAAGGGTCAACAAGAAAAAGCATGGAACCTTTCATTGCTAGTTCTTTTTGTTTTTATCCTTTCATTCTGCAAGCATACTGAGGCAGGAGTTTATCTAGGAGTTTCTAAATTGGAGAGGGAGAAAGATAGATGATCAATCGTGCTAGCCGGTGAAGAGAGATACACGATGAAAGAATTCCCATAATGCTATGGAGGGAAAAAAGAGGGGAATTGATTCTAACAGGGTGATGATATCCACAGGGCTTATCACGGGCAGAGTAATGGCTCCCCCAAAGATATCCACATCCTGATCTCATCTACCTTTCAACCTGTCTACTTTTTTTTTCCTTTTTCTTTTTTCCAGTACCGGGAATCAAACTCAGGCCCTTGCAATTTTGAGGCAGGCATTGGAACCACTGAACTAAATCCCCGACCCCTCTCATCTACCTTTCAACCCGTTGCATGAGGAGCTTCCAGCAGAAGGGCAGGAATTGTTATATTGCATCTACTTATTTTACATCAACTGATATCAGCAACAGCCCGAGCATACCTCGTTCAAAACATTAAAGTCCAAAAGATCCCGAATTCCAACACTTTGTGAGCACTGATACACTGGCCCAAGTAGAAAGCACCACACCTGGCCCCCTATAACAGGTCACACTCAGACCACACCCGCTTAAACATATTGCTGAGAATCACCTTCAGGCTCTGTGTTAAAAGTGCTCTAGTGTGAGAAACTGAAAGTGTAAATAAAGACTGAAAGGTGTAATAGATATGTTAAATAGGAAGAAAAGGTGCAAAGAGGAAGAGTTAGTGGTGGGGCGAGAAGGGAATGGAATTAATATGAGAAAAACAAAAAATGGAAATGGGCTGAGGATTTAGCTCAGTGGTTCCACAGCCTGCCTCACAAGCACAAGGACCCGAGTTTGATCCGTGGTACCAAAAAAAAAAAAAAAAAAAAAAAAAAAAAAAAAAAAAAAGCAAAAAACAAAAACAAAACAAACAAACAACAGAAAGCAAAGTCTTTGTAGATAGACAAGAGTGGAGCGGTTGAAGAGAGGGCAGGGGAATGGGGAAAAAAGAAGAACCAAAATCGATTATATCGAGGTGCAAATTTCCAGTGATGAATGTCATATTAAACATACCAATAAAATTAATTTTTAAGAAAGTGTATAGGAAACAGAAAGGAATTTCATGGTACAACGTGGACACCCTCCTCAAGATATCTCGTTGTGACTGTGCAGTTACCCAGTCTGACAAAAACTCAAAATCAGAAGCCATTCTGATCCCAAGCGTTTTGGGTAAGGGTTACCCAATCTGTACTCCTTTATTCAGATCGTGTTGAAGCGGCTATTAGGGAATATGTCATCCTGGACAAATCCCTTAATCTCTGCCTTTTCCTCACCTGTTGAGTGACAAAGTCTCACCCGTAACATCTCTGAGGTACGACTGAAATGCAGTGAGTGATGACATTAAATGTGCTCCAGTAAAAGACACACTGCCATGAATCGCCCTCAAAATACTCCCCTTGCTTCCAATACAGCCATCCCCTTATCCTTGAGTGTTTTTGCAGGGTGTGATAAAAAAACACAGGGAATGCCACCAAAGGGAAGGCTGGCTCATAAAAACACCGTGCTGAGTCCTCACCCACTGTATTCTTTGCATTGGGCACCATTAGACCTCTGATTCTTCCCCAAGGTCAAAATGACCTTACAAAGTCAGTGTTTGTTTTCATTAGGACACCGGAGCAGCCATGATGATACGGCTCCTATGCTATAGAAGAAGGACTTGTGGAATTGGGCCGTGAAGCCATTGGGACCTGGGCTTTTCTTCTGGTAAGTTTTTAATTACATTTTCAATTTTGTTGATTGATACTGGATTGTTTTCATTTTTTAGGTCTTCTTCATTTGGTAATGCATCTAGAAATCTGTCCATTTCTTCTGTGTTTTCCATCTTATTGGCATATAGATTCTCAAAGTAGGTATTGATGATCCTCTGGATTTCTGCTGGATCTGTTATAAGTTCACCCTTTTCACTCCTAATTGCATGGATTTGAGCCTCCCCCTTTTTTTTATAAGGTTGGCTAAGGGTTTGTCAATTTTGTTTATTCTTTTGAAGAACCCACTCTTGGCTTTATTGCTTTTTTTTTTTTTTTTTTTTTTGGTACTAGGAATCAAACCTGGGTCCTAGCACTTGTGAGGTAGACAGCAGCACCACTGAACTAAATTCCTGGCCTGGCTTCAATGATTCAATGATGTGTTTTGTATCATTCTCTTAGTCTCCATTGCATTGATTTCTGCTCTGATCTTTATAATCTCTCCCCATGTACGAGTTTCGAGTTTATCCTGCTCTTCTATTTCTAGAAGCTTGACGTTCAGCATTAGGTTGTTTATTTGACCTTGCTGTTTTCCCAAGATGAGTATTCAATGCTATGAATTTCCCTCATAAGACTGCTTTCATTGGGTCCCATAGGTTCCAATATGTCATACTGGAACTGTCATTTAATTACAGAAACGAATTTTTTCTTTGATTTCCCCTGTGACTCATTAGTTGTTCAAGATTCTATCATTCAATTTCCATGTGTTTGTGAAGTTCTTGTAGTTTCTTTTTCTATTGATCTCCAATTTCATAGCATTGTTATCTGATAATATACAGGGCATGAAGTTCCATTTGCATTTACTTAAACATGTTCTGTGAGTGAGTATGTAGTCTGTTTTGGAGAATGACCCATGTGCAGCTGAAAAGAATGTGTATTCTGATTTTGTGGGGTGGAACACTCTGTAAACATCTGTTAAGTTTGTTTGTTCAAGACTTTCATTGAGTTCTACTATTTTATTATTTGTTTTTTGTCTAGTTGATCTGTCTATTTGTGAGAGTGGGGTATTGAGCTGGCCCACTACCATTGTATTACTGTTTATTTGATTTTTTTCTATTAATATTTGTCTTATAAAGTGGGGTCACTAGTATTTGTGCATATGTGTTTATAATCATCACCACTTCCTCTTGGACTGTTCCCTTTACAAAGATGTAGTGTCCTTCTTTGTCTTCTTAATTAGTCTTGGTTTCAAATATATTTGCTCTGTGAATACATTTTCTGCTTTTCTTTTTTGGGGGATCCTGTCACCTGGAATATTGTTTTCCACCCTTTAACTTTCAGTCTGTGAGTTCCTTTTTGAATTAAGCGTGTTTCTTCTATGCAGTTTATTGTTAAATCTTACTTAGTGACCCATTCTGCCAGTCTGTTTCTTTTGATTGGTGAAATAAGACCATTAACTCTGATGGTTATAATTGATATGCATTGAATTATCCTTATTGCGACCTTTTCCTGTTGTTGGATTCTCCCCCTACTTCCTTTAATTGCTTGTTGTGCCTGACGGATTCATTCTGTTGGGCTTCCTGGGATTGTGACCCTCACTGCACTTCCCTAGGACATTGTTCCAAAACTTTTTGGAGTGTTGGTTTGGTATTCATGAAGTTCTTCGGGTGTTCTTTGTCACGAAACTGTCTCAATTCTCCACTGATTGTTAAAGAGAGTCTTTCAGGGCACATCACTCTGGGTGGGAGGTTGTTTTCTTTTAGGGCTTTAAATAATTCCCTCTAGGCTCTTCTTGACCTGAGGGTTGGTGCTGAGAAGTCTGCTGTGATTCTGATGGGGTTTGCTTCATAAGTGATATATTTTTCCCTCTCTAAGTGCTTGTAGTATTTTGTTCTTCTGTTGAGTTTCTGGAATCTTGACTATTATATGCCTAGGTGGAGATTCTTTGTTGTTGTTTTTTTTGATCATGGCTAGTTGGAGTCCTATATGCCTCACTTATGGGTGTGTCAAATTCTTTTCCCCTCCTTGGGAAGTTTTCTCCCATTACTTCTGTGAAGTTGTTGTTTTTGTTTTGTTTTGTTTTTCAGCGTCACATGAAATATCTCCCATTTATTCACTGACTCTAATCAGTCTTATGTTATTCTCTTTTACATCATCTGGCAGTTTAAGGAATGATTTCTCATGGCCCCTTGATATTTTTTAAGTCTTTCTATGTCTGGACACTAACTGCAATCCTGTCCTTTGTTTCTGATATTCTATCTTCACATTGGCTCAGTCTGCGGTGTTAACATGTAGAGAAGAACTATTGCCACTCCTTTTTAGACAATTCAATGAAATTGAAAGGGAAACAGTACTCCAAATTCATTCCTGAAAGCAAGCATCACCTTGATCCCCAAAGCAAAGAGAGACCAAACCAAAAAAGAGAGCTACAGGCTAACCCCCCCTAGTGAATATAGATGCAAAACTCCTCAACAAGATACTAGCAAAAACACTGCAGTAGATCAGCAAAAGATCATACACCCTGACCAAGTGGGATTCATTCCAGGAATGCCAGTGTGGTTCAACCTAAATAAATAAATGTAATACACTATATTAACAAAGCCAAGGACAAAAACCGTATGATTATCTCAACAAATGCAGAAAAACATTCAACAAAATGCAACACCCATTCATGATAAAAACTGTAAAAAAATTGGAATACATGGTTTTTGTCTCAACCTGATAAAAGCCATCTGTGAAAAACCAACACCAAACATCGTACTAAGTGGTCAAAAACTGAAATCCTTCACAGTAAAATCAGGAACCAAGGATGTACACTACCACCACTCCTGTTCGATACAGTTCTAGAAACAATTAGCAACAGCAATTAGACAAGAGAAAGAAATATAAGGAAGAAAGATAAGAAATGAAGAAGTGAAACTGTCATTATTTGCAGATGACACGATATTCTATATAGAAGATCCTAAGAATGCCATCAAGTCTTCTAGACTTAATGACCAAATACAGTAAAGTAGCTGCATACAAGGGCAAGACACAAAAATCAGTAGACTTCTTGTATAAGAACAGAAGACTCAGCAAGACAGAAGCTAGAGAAACAACTCCTTCACAACAGCATCCAAAAAAGTGAAATACCTAGGAGTCATTCTCACAAAAGCAATCAAAGACCTCTACTCTGAAAACTATAGCACTCTAAACAAAGAGATCCAAGAGGATATAAGAAAATAAAATATATAT